AAAAATAAAAAGTTTGGTTGCTGGTGTTATCTATAAACAAATACAGCTAAATAAACCAAATAAAAAACCATATATTTCTTCTTCTTTTATATTTATATTTATTTTATTTATTTTAATTAATATAATAATTTTAATAATAAAACTTATTTTTATTATATAACAATAAACAATAAAAAGCAACTCAACCCTAAACCCTTACAAAAAACCCTAAACCCTGAAAAAAACCCTAAACCCCAAACCCTAAACCCTAGAAAAACCCTAAACCCTAAACCATAAACCCTAAACCCTAAACCCTATAAAAACCCTAAACCCTAAACCCTAAACCCTAAACCCTAAACCCTCATACCTGCCGTGGTTGAGCATGGTGGGTAGGCCGATACTTTGGAGGTTTAGGGCGACGATTTGGCAGCCTAAATTCCAGCAGACAGTGGGGTCGTAGTTTGACGAAGACAAACGCGTCCCGGATGGATAAACTCTAGATAGATAACGCTGGTGAAATGAACAACTGAACACAAATAAATATATAAATATATTTGTTGAGGTGTTGTTTAATTATATTTGTAAAAAAAACAGAAAAAAAATAAAAAAAAAACGAAAAAAAACAAAGACAAAGACAGGGTATTACATGGAGACAAACGCGTCCCCGATGGATAAACTCTAGATAGATAACGCTGGTGAAATGAACAACTGAACACAAATAAATATATTTATAAATTAAAATATATATTGTTTTATTATATTTGTAAAAAAAACAGAAAAAAAATAAAAAAAAAACGAAAAAAAACAAAGACAAAGACATGGTATTACATGAAGACAAACGCGTCCCGGATGGATAAACTCTAGATAGATACAATTTGTGAAATAAACAGCTAAAAAAAAATATAAATATATTAATAAATTAAAAAAAATATTATTTAATTATATTTGTATAAAAAACAGGAAAAAAATGAAAAAAAAACGAAAAAAAACAAAGACAAAGACAGGGTGCGGTCATAGTTATATGAAGACAAACGCGTCCTCGATGGATAC